GAGTTTTTTGAAATTTTTACTACACATTTTACTAGTAAAAAGTGTACTAGGTATTTTACTAGTAAAATGTATGATAAAATTTCAAAAACTTTCATTAAATTCTTCGAAAATTAAACTCTCATAAAACGTTGCCTTGATGTCCCACACGATTACATGATTTTCAGGATAAATTTTAAGAGAAAATTCCCTCCGCGTATAAACACGATGTCGTTTCTCGTTTTGATAAGCTGCATGTATTTGTCGGTCGGAGGTTGCGCTTATTCACGACGTGGAAATCTATGAAAATTATTCGAGCAGAAATTACGGCGCCAAGCTCGCGTTGGGCGATTACAGCGAAAAAGAGCAGACCGTACACGTCACGACTTCCCGCGGTTTAGAAATTCTTTAGAAAGTTTATTTATAAGGCCATTATCTCTCGGTGCTTTGCGGTACCGCGAGCAGAGTTTTTACGCGCTCGAGCTGCCGTGCAACCAGGAGAATCACTATTAATACAACTAATCCATTTTTTTTACGAGGTTTCTATACTTCAAATAATACAGTTCGAATACCGAAACTTTTACTGGAAAGAAATTTATTTTTTGTACTCGCGGGGCAACTTTAGGCGAGGATTAGTCAGCTGATCGTGCGATTACACGTTGAAAGCGCATCGTCGGAACCCGCTCGTGACACCGCGGTCCGTCGCAATGTCGGAAATTTCATCGTATTCGCGAGACGTTGAACTTGCGAATCCGCAGCTTATGCCAGCTCGGACTTTGCGGCGCTTCAGAGGGGGAACACGCGACAGTGGACTCCCGTGATGTAATCGCGGCTTACATCACGAGCAAGACCTTCAGTCTATAAACATACAAGCGCCGAAACGCAAATACGCGACAACAACCACTTTTAGAGCCCAAGGTGCGTCTCTCGTACAACAGGTCGACATCCGCCCACGCATCTCTAACGGGCTATCTATAACTCGTGCTCGTAATAACCATTAGTGTTATATGTGCAATAAACATCAACAGTAAACGCATATCTCCGTACTCGAAGAGAAGATACTTTACGCGAAGCCTCGAATAAGATGTTCGCCGGAGTACAATCTCTTTCAACTGAACAATGGACAATCTAATTCTCTTGTTATTCTTAAGCCAATGGCACGCGGTTACTATTTTTCCTACTGGATTGCTTACGAGAGCCGATCAGGATTTAGCTTCTAGTCACCTGATCTAAAGCCAACGGCACAC